CTTTCCTTTACTTTACTTTACTTTACTTTACTTTACTTTCTTTTACTTTACTTTCTTTTACTTTACTTTATTTTACTTTATTTTACTTTATTTTACTTTACTTTACTCTGCTTTATTTTACTTTACTTTACTTTATTTTATTTTACTTTACTTTACTTTTCTTTTCTATCTATCACTAATACTAATACTTTGAGGTGTCTCGGAGAGGTAGAGGCGTCGGGTCTTGGCAAAGTGGAAAGCTTCCTGAAGCCAAAAATTGTGCAATTTTGATATGCCCTTTCCTCCCTAAATTCACCTCTTCCTAGGTGTTCCTCTCGTCCTGTAGCCAGCTATTCTTGTGTTGTATTTGAGTGTTACATTACTTCATTTAGATCTAGGTACCATATTGTTTCGGTCTGGCCCACTTACTCTTTCCTTTAGCATGGCCGTCCGAGAACTCGTCGCCTAAATATAAAACGTGTTTGTTCTCAGTTTCAGGCGACTGAGTCGGGCGATCGGCCCGATCCAGCCCTAGTGGGCACCCCATATTACTTGACTCAAACCTTTGCCTTAACCTGTAACTTCACTCAAAACCTCGCCATAACTTGAAAAATGACTCAAATCTTTACCTTGACCCATAACCTGACTCAAACCTTCGCCATAACCTGTAACTCAACTCAAACCTTATTTCCCACCAGACATCGTGGACAGCTCTGGAGTTCGCATCTACCTGACGTCACGCCTACGTCAGCATGACGCGGGCATCCTGGAAATCGGCGTCAGCACAGACGACCATCACGTGGTGCCACCCCTGTCTCCTGGCTTTGTCTCCAGGGGATACTGCAGCGCCGAGTGCTTGAAAGAGGTCAACATAATGCAATATCGTTACCTTAGAATCACAAAGTTTTATCGGACATGCTTTTTGGGGGCCGTTCTGAGTTTTAAGATCAGGGTTTAGTCAGAAACCAAATGTTCTATCCGATTTATCAAAATCGTAAGATGTTTCGGAGTCGTTATCAAGATGTTTAGAGGATTGCATTAGAAAAAGCTTGACTTGTTGTGGAACTCAAAAAATTTTTAACGTTAAATTTCTCAAAGCTAGGGGCTAAGCAGATAAAACTGTGTAATTCTAGGGCTTTCTTTGCTATTATAATTGTCCGCATCCAAAATGTTTTGTTTGCCATTATAACAGATCATTATAGTTTCTTTAAAAATGCACCAAAATCGTGCGTATCCAGGGAATAACGCATGTTATGAAATAGTGGCGTTCTTTGGGAATGAGCACTTTGAAAGGCGCACGATGTGAAAAGGTTGAAAATTCAACCAAATCATAGACTTGTACATGTATTTGTATTAAAATTCCGGAGAGTACGCTGTCATGGCTGCTGCTTTTTGCTCTCTATTAAAAAAACAAACCAATCCCCACCCCTCCCCCCCCACAAAAAAACACCTAAATAATAGAAACTTCGCTTCAAAGCGTGCGCCCAAATGAAGGGATTAACAGCACTCTCAATACATGTATTATAGTCGAGTGTGCGAGGCACCTTTTCCCTTCTTGCCCTCCAACTGGCTTCAAATTGAGTCAATAGGTGGGCTGCGTGGTGAACCAGTGTTACGTCAGTGTGTGCGATCTAGGATGTCATAATACATGTACAAGTCTATGGGCTAAACAGAATGTCGGTACGGTACTCTTATACCACTTAGGTCGAGGGCTACTATTACTTTTCTTCTTGTTCTTGTTCTTGTTCTTGTTCTTGTTCTGTTTCTGTTACAATACTTCTTTCTATTAGACATTACAACAACGGTGACGCAGTTGCTCCACCGACTTCCCTCTCGTACAAGCGTACAAGAGAGAGAGAGAGAGAGAGAGAGAGAGAGAGAGAGAGAGAGAGAGAGAGAGCGAGAGAGAGAGAGAGAGAGAGAGAGAGAGAGAGAGTGTGTGTGTGTGTGTGTGTGTGTGTGTGTGTGTGTGTGTAAGTGAGTGAGTGAATGAGTGAGTGCATGCGTACATAATATGTGCACATGCGTAAGTGCAGCGGAAGTCTTCACAATCCGTACGTACAGAAAGACGGAAGAAAAAGGGAAGGGGAGGAACTCCGATTTTCATCTCACAATTTCACTTCAACACGATTATGGTTATAGAACCTAATAGAAACTTGACAACGTTTTGTGAGTTAGATCTAAGAAAGCCTGACCTCTAGCCTGCGGGTGGTTGGCGGGTGCTCTGGTGTGGTTTGCTCCTTCTTTTCCATCAAACATTTATCGCCCTGATCTCCCATTCTTCTTTTTTGTGTTTGTTACTCTCTTGTAATACCTCAAATCTTCGGTACTTATATATAATCACAATGTGTTACAAGTACCGTAAAACTTTTATTATAACTGAAATCTCTAGTCTTACTAACCTGAGAGAGAGAGAGAGAGAGAGAGAGAGAGAGAGAGAGAGAGAGAGAGAGAGTGTGTGTGTGTGTGTGTGTGTGTTTTATACATAGAGTGGGTTGTTTCAGGTCGTAAAACATGTATTTTTACTAATGTCCTGTCCTGTTGTGAGTATGCGTACATGAGTACACCTAACCTTTGTAACATCAAAGAGGTAACATTCCACTGCCATTGTAAAAGACCAAGACAAATTTCTCTCTGTGAGATGAATGAAGATTGTCACTGTCAATCCTCCAGAGCATGGACATCGCCAGTGTGAATGAGGTGCACGTCTTCGCCAATATGCTGCACTCCCACCTGCTGGGGTATGGCATGAAGAGCCGAGTGGTGCGTGGAGACCAAGAGCTCAAACCGCTGGCAGCAGACAACAACTACGACTTCGATTACCAAGAAATGAGATCGCTTGCCAAGGAGTTCACATTGCGTAAGGTACGTTTCGTGGGTGACTAGTTTAGTCAAGGAATTCCCTTTGCCTAAGGTGCTTCTTTGGGTGACTGGTTTAGTGAAGGCAGGTAAGGAATTCATTTGCCCAAGAAGGTGCGTTTGTTTAGGTGACTCGTTGAGTCCAGGAATTCACTTTACTTAAGTTGGGTGACTCGTTTAGCCAAAGAATTCACTTTGCTTTTAAAATAAGGAGCGTGTTTGGGTGACTGGTTTAGATCTAGCCAAGGAATTCACTTTACGTAAGGTACGTTTTGTGGGTGACTGGTTTAGTCAAGGAATTCACTTTGCCTAAGGTGCATAATATTTGGGTGACTTGTTTTGCAAAGGAATTCCCTATGCTTAAGGTGCGTGTTTGGGTGACTGGTTTAGCCAAAGAATTCACTTTGCGTGAATTCACAAGGTGCGTTTGTTTAGGAGACTGGTTCAGCGAAGGAATTCACTTTACGTAAGGTACGTGCTAGGGTGACTGGTTGGAAACCAAATGCGTCCACATTGACACAATTTGTGTCACGACACGGTGGAATCAGGAGCTCGACAATTTTTGGGCATCATAATGGTAAATAGTTATTGGTTTATCCTTAAAGCCCGTTCATGTGGTTTGATTTTGTGGGGGGAAAAGTGAAAAGACTTTTGTCGTCGTCGTCGTCGTCGTCGTCGTCGTCGTCGTCGTCGTCGTTGTTGTTGTATTTGTTTTGGGAGGGTATGTTTGTTTGTTTTTAGTTAGTTTTATTCTTTTTTCTTTTTTTAAAATTCGTTGTTGTTGTTTTTTTCCCTTAGAGTGAAACCAAAAACAGGAATCACCACGCATAAGTTTTTCAGAAACGAGGGAACGTGCTTTCTGAATCAAGATAAAGTATCATTTCTCTGCCAAGCACTCACGTCTTGAATACTAGTCGAGATGTTTGTTACTGAAGGAAGTATACGGGTCGCCTGGTGTCAGAGGTAACATTAGCGAGAAAATGGCGGAAATAAATTGGTGACTTCCAATGCTTGAGTGTCCTCAGAAACTACAAATCTGTAATTTTTTGGTGACTTTTATAACCGCCTTCCAGTGAAAATCCGCACATAATTGTGTTTTTAAACGGGCATAAAAGATGGTCAGCCCCTAAAACAAAAATTTGATTAAAAAAACTAGATTTCTACCAAGTTGGCAAAAAAAATTACGGTTTCTTCGATTTCATTATTTTGAAGAGCTTTTTATTTCATTAGGATGCCACACATTTAGAGTTTATATGCGTTTTCCAGCAACTCAAATCAGTAAAATATTTAGATTAATTGTTTCAAACACCAGAAGAAACGAATTTAACAAGGTATCAACAATGTCTGATAATGTCTGGTTAAGAACGAGAGAAAGAACTGGGTATCTCATGTCCTCAGGGTCCTTGAACGACGAACTTTTTATAATTGACACATGCTGATTCATGTACTTGTATTGGCGCAAAGATCCCACACTACAATACGCTTATTCCCAGCTCAGAAGTCGCTACAGCCGCTGTTTTTGAAGCTCTCTTTCATTTCTTGAGACGAAGAATAGGAATAGCAACCCCCCCCTGCCCCTCCCCTTTGCACAAGCAGATCAGCTTCAGCTGTTCATCGGTTTACGATCATCTGTTAACAAATTACGTGCTTATTCTCAGGTCAGGAGACGCCACTGTAATTTTGAGGACACTTCTTTTATAGACTCAAAGAGAGGAGTGAACCATCTTGTAGTGTAGGATCCTTGATTGACGTGAGTGCTTGGCAGAGAAATGATACTTTATCTTGATACAGAAAGCACGTTCCTTCGTTTCTGAAAAACTTACGCGTGGTGATTCCTGTTTTGGTTTCACTCTACGGATCGGAAAAAACCCCAACAACGAATAAAAAAAACAATTAAGAATAAAGAATAAAACTAACTAAAAACAAACATACCCTCCCAAAACAAATACAACAACAACAGCAACAACAACAACAACAACAACAAAGACAAAATTCTTTCCTTTTTTTTACATTTTTATTGGAAAGTGTTTTACGGCGCTCGCAACTGCAGAAGGTATAAAAAAAAATGAGCGCACGGGACACACCAAACATTTTCAATTGGTAGAAAACTTTGAATTTTGCCAGGGTGGCGGCCAAAACCTACTCTTATCGATGTTAGACCACCAAGGAATCTTTAACGTGCGCAACTTGTACACGGGCCCACCGAGATTTTTCGCCCTTATCAATGAAGGCTAAGTGTAGATCTTTCCTACAAGAAGGTCAGGCGTGTGGCTGAAAGACAACAGTAAGAAGGAGCCAAGGAGTAGCAGTAGAAAGGCTGCAGAAAGAACTAGGAGCCCAGAGGAGGGGGCAAATTTATGAGGTGACGGGGTGGGGGCAGAAAGAGGAGATGAAAGCAGACGACAGAACATTGCTAGAGAGCAGGAAAGGAGGTGAAAGAAGACAATTTTAGAGAAGAAAATTTTTCGGTCGCTAACCGGATTCGAACCCGGGACTTTTGAATGAGAGGCTAACGCCTTAACCCCTAGGCCACGAGAGCCCCCACATTTTTATTGTACCCCTTCTTTACTTCTTTTAATGTATCAAATGCAATAGACATCCCTTTAAAGGTACTTCGATTACTTATGACCTCGTTCGACGAAGGATTTCAGAAAGATCTAAGATCAAGGTGGAAGATGAACAATAGATTCGCCGTTCGAAGGTGCTTACAAAGAGTTGTCCAGAGGTTTGCAATCATCTTACCTGTACCGAATTTTGATCTCGAACTGTTTAGGAAAGTCACACTTGCAACAAATTTCCAATATTTTTACGTTTTTAAAATCTTCTCGTTTATTTATTTATTCATTTACTGTTTCATTTATTTATTTATTATTTTTAAAATTCATTTATTTATTCATTTATTCGTGTATATATTTGTTCATTCGTTTATTTGTTTATCAATTTTTGCAGGGTGATCGGCTGCTTGTTGACTGCCTGTACAAGTCTCCAAGTAAAAAAGAAATCACATTTGTGAGTATTCATCACTGACCTAAACATTCAGTTAAGTTACCATAGTATTTTGTGGCGAATCGACATAATGAGGACGATCATTTGGTTGATAGACAGAAGGATAGATATTATATAGATAGAAAGTATAATAAGATAGATAGATAGATAGATAGATAGATAGATAGATAGATAGATCGATAGATCGATAGATAGATAGATCGATA